TGTAGATGTACCAATGAATCCTAGGTATAGGGTTGCATGTAGATGTACCAATGAATCCTAGGTATAGGGTTGCATTGTAGCTGTACCAACAGAGGCTAGCCATTGCACAGTCACTTCTATATATTTGAACCAATTGTGGATCTTTGTAGTAAGCATCAAGTGCTACCAAAGGAAGATCTTTGATGAGAGGTGAAAGCTACAAGTTGGGTATAAGAATAAAAATTTAGAATAGAGTTTGAAATTATATTGGTTTAGGAAAATGACAGTAGTAGGGTCTTCTCTACGGTCCATGGCTTCTGCAGCTACACACACTTTGCTATGTTTATGGAACCAGGCATGGATTTCCTCCCATTGAGCAGGCCTTAAGTCCAATGAGATACCTACTGGTATCCCAAGATGATAGTTTCACTACTGTAACCATTAAGCATATTTGTTCTGGGCAAGTCATTGTTGTCAGCTTGCATGAGATAAGCATCCTTTGACATCATTAAAGCTAATCCTCAGGGAGGCCTACAGGACAGTTCCAGCTCGATTCATCTAAGTCCTGCATCTGGAGTGTTTGGTGTCTTCATCAACAGAGTATTAGCCTCAAATTCTGGAAGGGAACCAAAGGTAATGAAAATATCATATATAAAGTTTGTGAAAGTCAAGAACTCAAACGGGAGGTTTCCCAGTGACTGGCATGGGATTTTTTATTAGGGAGTCTATGGCTCTGGGAGAGTGTTGTTATCACATGTTGTGTAACCCCATTTAAACCACACACACACAAATGAGGGTCTAGGGAGGTCAGTATTCAGTATAAAAATATACTAAAAATTTGTCATTATAAAAATATAAACTAGTAAATACTCAAGAAATAAATGTGTGCTATTTCATATTCATTTAGTAGCCACCAATAATTTTTGATGCAAAACTCTTCTGAGGTGCTGTTGCATAAGTGTGATCTATTTTGGCATAGCCTTTTATTCTTTTATTCTCAATAAAACTTTCATGCAGCAGGTACGACCACTTGTCCTTCTGATCTAATTGATTAAATTCCACTACTGAATTAAGCTTCTAGCTTTTAGACAAAGAAATGGAAGAGCACAAAGGGCACAGATGTTCAGGCAGGAGAAGTTTCTCATGACTTTCAATTTCTTAGATGACAGAGTAGCTTACCACTGTAGTTTAACTGAGGCCTACTCTGAAAGTTAACAGAAAGGCACACTTCTCGGGAGTTACCCAGCCTTGGAGTTTTCAGGGTTTCTGGTGTTATTTCCCTGCCAGTATGCTGAAAATACTAATCTTGGTTCTCAGAATACCTCAATAACAGGGGCAGTATATTAACTATAATCCTCATAAGTGCATTTTATTTACCCAAGTCTATTGTGGTGCGTAAAGAATATTTTTATTCTTTTAAATTTTAATATTTAATTTAATTTTAATATTTAATTAAAATTAAATATTTTAATTTCTTAGTTAAGAGGTTTGATATATTGTCTAATAGCACATAGTGTATCTTAAGGGAATATATGAACTCTGGCTGGACCTCAGGGAGGAAGGCACAGAGGTAGGAAGGGAAGAAAGCCCGGAGCATGGGTACCTAGAGGCCCTCACTGAGAATACGGAACTACTGTCCATAACCCAAGGAGCTGAGAAGCAGAAACTTGCCTTGAAGCAACCGGCTGAAGTAGAGCTAATGTTTGAAACACACGGCACATGCACTTCTGATGAAATTTCCTTCTGTAAGAAAACAAGAGCTTCTTCCATTTACATCTGGATACCTGGATTTGGCTTTAACTAAAACCTTGAAGACATATTGCTGTTCTTCTAGGCTTCCTTAGTCGACACTGGATGCCTAACTTAAAGGCAGCACTCATCTGTCACTGAGGCCACCTATCAACCAGCAGTTATCAGATACAGAATTCTGCTATGTGGCAGGAAGTGGTTTATTTGTTAATCAGGGGCTTATAACAATGACACGTGCACTTTTTAACAGGTAACCTGTGTATACTCGTTTATATTTGAACTAATAATCCTATTTAAAGCTAGGTGAATTTAATCTGTACTCTGCAGTCATCAGATTGCCTTAGGAGGGATTAATATTAGTCAACTTCAAAGAGATCTTTATTTATAAATGTAAAATTTTGTATTTAGAAACACATAAACATATGTGGCATTAAAGAAATATTGGCAATAAACTTGGAAGAGAGAAAGGGGAGGTACCTGGGAAAGTTTAGGAGGAAGGGGAAGGGGGAAATGATGAAGTTATAACCTCTGAGTGAAAAATTATAGAAATACAAAATTGAATTCTCTAAATAGTTGCTTAGTTTTGATAATGAAAGTCCACAATGTTCTGTTTGATTACACTGATTGGTTCAGATCTTATACCTTCTTATTTAATATGTTAAATTCTTTCATTTTTATATAAACTGAGAAAGTAAGCTTTATTTTTAAGATCATTATACCCTTAATGATTTGTAGGCATGAAGGATTAATGTAGGCATGCCAAAGGTAAGAGATAGGAATTACAGGATACAGCACAGAGACGAAAGTACAGACTTGCTAAATCATTACGGTAAGGTAGAAGAGGGAAGAAAAAAGGAACGTTTACCCAAGTAGATATGAAGTCACATCCTGACCAAAGGAGGAAGTGCCGCATCACAGGGCTCAGAGCTATCTGGTGCTGTACATCACAGACAGCAACTGCCGTCTGCTTTCAGTTGTCTCTGTAGCAGCAGAAACTGTGTACACTAGAGGTGGCCTGAATTCAAAATGCTAAAGAGGAAGCCATCTAATGCCTCAGAGAAAGAGAAACACCAAAAACCGAAGGTAAGGTGATTCCTAACAGAGTTAAATAAACTGAGACTTCTTACTAGATTGTAAATTGTACACACACACATACATACATACAAACATACATACAAACACACACATAATACACACATTAACACATACATATACCATATATAAACGCATACATAGTCATATATACAAACTCACTCACTTACTCAAACACACAGACTTTTAAACATACACACACAGTCACACACTACACACATGTGCACACATACATGCACACACACAACCTATACTATCACCCCACACATACATACATAATATTTTATCTGTTTTTTTTTTTGTAAGTTTATTCAAGTAGAGAGCTTAGTACATCATAAAACCTATGGAAAAATTCACCTGGCCAAATTAGATACCAGTGGGCAATTATGGTCTTCACAATTGTGTATTAGATTCAATTATTCATGTTGGTAGTTAAGTTTGGGTTTAGATAATTTCACAAAAATCTGTTTGGTGGTCTCTGCATAAGCCATTGATATCATAGACTTTCTTTGGACAGTTTTCATTATTGAGGTGTTCAATGTCTTTCCAGAGTACTGAATAAATTATTTTATTTGTTAAATTTTAGGCATTTCAAATACATATTTATAAGAAAGCTGTAAATGGAGAGTTTGGGGGTTAATTTTATTTTCTTTTTGTAGTTTGAATGTTATACTATGATATCTTGTTGTAGACATGCATTTACACATTGTCACTAGAGAAAGTTTTGTGTCCTATTTTGAGAAGCAACAAAATTACAAGTTAGTAAATTGGATAAGTCAATCTTATGTAGAATACTCTTTTTTATTCTTTCTCTTGTTAATAATTTTCACTAAAATATAGACAAGCCAAGGTTACCTTTTATTATGGCACTGTTAGTTTTACCAGCAACATTAATTTCTTTAGAATGAAGTTCCAATGTCAGAAATTATCTGCTTTGTTTATACATTTCTAATGCTTCTCCAGTCAATGAAAATTCAATCTTTTTGTTGTTTGTGCAATAAATAGTAGTAGATTCTGAATATTTTTAAAGAGTTGATATTTTCTTATCAGCTTTTATTTGTTATTGTCAGAGAAACTGTTTAGAAATTGATTTTGTACTTCTGAATTGAGGTGACTTGAGACAATGTTCAATGTTTTGCAACCTTCCTCAACAAATCTGAAGCAAAATAAATTCTCTTTATTTATAAACGTAAAATTTTGTATTTAGAAACACATAAACATGTGTAGCAATAAATAAATTTATTTATTTATAAATAAAGAGAATAAACTATTTCCAAATGTGGAAAACTAAAACTAGATGAATTTCAATATTTCTAATACAAAATTCCAGCAAAGTTTAGAGAAGCCTCTTATATAAGTATTATAGAATAGTAAATTGCAATTTCCATCTTTTTCCTATTAAAATGGAAATTCAAAGCAACATATCCCAAAATATACAAAAAATTTCAAATTTTCACGTACATTTACTCATGTTATTACTTGTATGAAAAATAACTCTAAGTGAAATAAATGTTCAGTTGACAATAGCTTTCATAGATACTATAAAAATCAAAATAAAGCAATAGTTTTCCTCCAAATGCTTTAAGTATGACATCTGACTATTTCATGAGGACCGTGACACACAGATTGTGATTAGAATGTTTATGTCACCAAACTATTTTCAAAATTACCTTTTATTATTTGCAATGGGCTAAGCACAGTAATTATTATATAAAAGATGTGAACTATCTTATTGACTTCCTCATTTATAAAATAAAAACGCACTTGATGTGCCTAATATATCACAAAAAATAATAACACAGAAAATATGTAAACATATATAGCTTTAAAATTTTTGCTATGGAACTAATAGTCCTCCATGTAATATAACTATGTCTTAGAAACAACTCCTTTTAATTCATATTTATTTTGCCATAGAGAAGTTTTGAATATTTTATGAGTTAAGGGTATAATCCATGAAGGATGGCAGGAAAATGTTCTTTTCTTATCCCTACACACACGGCTAATAGAAGGAATATAAAATCCTCCATACCTAACAAGGGTTTGTGATGTGATACCTATCTAAGAAAGACAAAATAGAGCTACCAAGAAACTGGCCTGAAATACGGGGTGTTGCTGTTTATACTGAATATCTATCAGATAATATTTTCCATACCCTGAGCCATAGCCATTTATTTTTGCAGGGTACTCGCAAGAGTATGGAAGTGTTTCTTTTGTTTTTCTTTTTCTTTTTTTTTAAATTGTGACATCAACAATGAGGGAAAGAATATCTAATCCTCTGGGGTATTTAAATCTATAAATTTTGGTTGTGGCTGTAGTTGGGCAGCACAGCCCTGACTGCATCCACAGGTTTAATCCTCCAGTTCCACATACACAGGAGAAAACTATGAAACCTAATGTTACCTGAAACAAAAACTAGTTAACTTTTTATTTAAATAGAACACCAGTGGGCACTAAAATTAGGTGGGAATAAGAAGTTCTTGGATGCTACTGCATAATGGGATTACTATGTGTAATTAAAATGTAGCATCTTCTAATGAAATGCTAAGTCAAGGGTCTAGGTACAGCTCAATCTATAATGTGCTTTCTACACAAGCATTTTATCCTCAGAAACTACATGAAAAATGACAGTGTGGTATTCTGTGCCTGTAATCCCAGCACTGGGGTGGCAGATCCAGGCATAATCCTGGACCGAGCCGGGCAGCCTGCCTAGCCTAAAGGAAATGACAATGGATTTTCAAACCTGTGCGAGCCACTGCTTCAAATACCAAGACAGACAACAACCTAGGAGGAAAAACAGCAGCGGCTGTCCAATGGCCTTCACATACACATGCACACACATGTAAGGAACCTCTACATCCATCCACATGTGCATGCACACATACACACACAAAATAAATTGATAAATGTTTAGAAGACATGTGTTTGATTTAAGCACTTACAAAAATGATGCATGTAGCAAAACACTGTAGGGAAGCCAGACCGTGTACAATTTTTGTTTCTTAGATATTAGTTGAAAATAAAGTTAAAGAAAGAGACTTTGTTATTAGTATTTTCTAATACATTTTATAGTTGTGACATTAGAATATTCACAAATCTAATATGCAATAATAGATTTTTAGAGAATTCTACCTACGAAGCAATGTATTATTTTTTGTTTATAGTATTTATCAATAAACATACCAGTGAGTAAAACTTCAAAACAAGTAATAGTTTTCTCACATCTCATTTTATCATTTATGGTGTACCTCTGTCTTAAACACTGTTTCTCCATTCTACTAAAGTTTATTTTACTGAAGTAGCGTATATACAAGATGAACATCTTTCAGGTATATTATTAAATAACAACATATAGGTTGAGAGTGAGAAACCAATGTTCTTCCATATTGGGTAACCAAAAGTATCTAAAGACATATTATAAAATACCTAACAATATATATTAAAGGGTTAATAAATTCTTACAAATTTAATGTGCCCCAGAACCATATAGGTAATTTTCAAATAAAAGTGAAACTTAATGAATAGTGGCTGAGCAGCCTACATTTTTTACTTAGAAATAACCTTGTTTAATACCCCATACCTTTTTATTGTGTTTTATTTGTACTATTTTAGCACTGGTGCTCAATGTTGACAATGATCTAGAGACTTGTAAGCATATCCATATGCAGTCTCCATAACCTTTTTATCTATACTGTTTTTAATGACCTATAAATGTTCAAATAATTATAGGACATAGTTTTTCTTGTGCTTATCTAACATGTTTATTTTTTCTGCTGTGTTTATTATGATTTTATTACCTAACAGTTGCTCTTCATGGATTTTCTACTCTATTTAATAGTTGCCACAACTCTCTTGGATAACAACTCATATCTAGCTTCATAAATGAAGAGGCAAATGAATATAAAAGATTACATATATTTAACAAAATCAGTTAACGTAACAAAAGATGCATAGATGAAAAATGTCATATGAAAAACTTATGATACCAATTTCCACTATCACAGTACTGGGAATTGTGCTGTCAGTGTCTCTTAAATGCCAGAGGAATTTTAAAGACTACAGAGCATCTATCTTTAGGGACATTTGTACTTTGAAAAGGAATTTAAGGTCCCTCTCTACCAACTAAATTCTGGAATTGTACCCATGAAACATGAAATCTCTCCAGGTTCCTTAGCTGCAAATTTCAAGACATGGAATTGTGTACATTTTTTTAAGTTGTCAAATGGTTTCAAAATATTATAATTTGCTTAGCTTTCCAACATAGTAGGGTCTTGACTAATATTTGAAAAATAAAAAGTTTTGTGAGTCTATTCCATGTGATTCATCACAGTAAGTTGTTTGTGTGTATGTGTCTAAATCCATCTTTAGTTCATTTCTGAGTGTTGAAGAATAAATCCATTATGCGCAAGGCTGGGCAAGATTCTTAGAAAGCTTATTGTTTCCCCGAGGTCAATATTTGATCCAGGTGAGGGAATATGCTAGAAAGTTTGAGAAGAAAAAGAAAATGGAACGCACAGATGAAATTTGGAACTGTAATTAGGACAAAACAGTCTTAATATATCTAGTATGGTAATCTGCGTGAATGCATTTTAACCGGGATCTTCTTGGAGTTAAGGAGATTCAATACCACTGTCATTGTAAAGGGAAACATTGGAATAATGGCACTTCTTGAAATAGCTTTTTAAAAAAGGTTCTTTTTAATCTAAAGTGCATACAAAATGAGACAGCATTAGTGTCACAGATGCTAATTTTCACTAGCAGTGACTGAAGTGGCATTCTTTCCCATTTGCATTTGATCCCAGCAATGATGAGAGGTGATGAGTTGATGATGAGCTGTTTTCACTGCACTGCCCGCTGTGCAAATTTATGCTCCTAGACAGGGATGACACATAGTTGTGGCATTAAAGAGCTGTCTGCATTGCTTTTTTGTATCAAGACTGTTAAAATGCACTTTAACTCTTATTTAACCAGGTACAAGGAAATGGAGGGCA